CAAAATTCTGCTTATAACAAACATAAAGTCTTAGTCCCGACTGTGCATTGATGTGCACAATGAATGGGACTGATGTTCCTCTTAATACAAAATTCTGATATAACAAACAATTTGGCTAGGTCCGAACGAGTTTGTATTCACGAGACTCGACTGTATAAAGTCACTGTAAGAAACAATTTACAAAAATAAAAAGGCCGGAAAAAATATGCTTTGAGTTCTAAAGATGCTCACTAATATATAAAATGAAACTACCAACTACTGTGTATCTCTGTCAGACAGCCATCAGAATTAATGCACATTTGCATACACCATATGTGACCGATCAATACCAGAAATGATGTTGATAACCAAAGCAAACAAAGCAACAAACAGTAAAGATAACTCAGATAGACGAATATAACTTGCCTGTCGATATGCACTGGGGCCCTGGACCCTTTTGGAATAATTGATAAATGTATAATACTTATGTAAATGAATGCAGAGAAATCTTTTTTGTCTATCTTTTTAAATTGATTAAAAAGCTTTGGTTACTGTTGTAAAGAGAACATTGAATATGCACAGACTCCATTTGATTTAAAGACATAGTCCATCATTTGTAATTTGTGCATTTTGTTCGTTCGAAGCAACAAAAGTGTTCAAAATCTAATGAAGGATACTGAACAACTAACCTGATGAAGTTTCAGCTCAGCTTTAGCTGTATATTCCGAGAAAAACAGCATTCTAGGATCTCAATTTCAAATCAAAAGTTGCCAAATCATGTTTTGAATTGTTTTGAATTGCAACTTAACGCGATGTCGCGCACTGATCCGACGAATTATAGCAACCGCGCGGACCTGTGCGTCATGCCAATGCTTGCCTGCACTGCGCCGAATAACATGAATAACAAAACGAACTACTAATTTAAATTTTCCTACGGTGCTTCTTAAGACGCACCGTTGGAAATGCCTTCTTTCATTGATTTCTTCAAAATGAGAGCTTGCCAGAAAGAATAATTTCACAGGGAGTTTAGTCCCCTTACTATCTTTCAACCAGTATGTTTTTCAACAATAGTTACGCCAGTTACTTTTTTGGATAGCTGCAAATGATGGACTCCGGCTTTAAAGGGAATATACATCATTTGCTTTTGCTGTAATTTTCAGAAATGGATGGAATTGGGGGGTTGGAAATATATAGCAAATATAGTTACACTGACTTTTTTGAGGTTTTGGGTTCGAAAATGCTATAAAAACCAAGAAAAACAATCATTTTCCTGTAGTCTGGTTCCCCGACTCCATTTAAGAAGAAACAGAGCAGTTTACATATATTGGGGAATTGTTAGGTCAGGGAACCAGTCTAGCTGGCTTGTACCCGTTCATAGGTGTGTAATCGATTGCAAACAAGTGCAATGGTCAACTGGGGCCAGTATTTGAAAAAAAACCAGTTTTTTTCAACGCTGATCGGCCGATCAGCATTGGAAATTGATACAAAAATACCACTTTTCTTGAAAATGACAGTATACCAGGTGCCATGATTTTACAGGATGCTTTACACTGTCATTCACTAACAGTCCAGCAAGGTATTTCAAAATGATTTGGTAGTTTTATTTTTTGATGTTTGCAAATGTTGTATTTTCCCTTTAATGTCTTTCACTGGATTTTTAAGTGGTTTTCAAAACCTTCATTCTGCACTTTTTCAATCCATTAGGCTTTGTCTCCATTTAACAGCTGTCTTGCAAATTGAAACTTCCATGAAAAAAACATTTAGTTAACCACTCCATGACAACACTTCTTGCTACCCCATAATCGTACACATATATTGTAGTCAGGATACAATACGTAAACATTTCACGATTTGTGTCGTGAACTTTTAAGCTATGACAGCTGTTGTGATTCTGATGTTTGCAGTGCCACAGCACTGCCACAGTTCCACTTTGTGTTCTCAACTTTCATTTTGGATGTACATTTTTAAATGTTTAAACTTTTGTTCACGATCACAATATGTGTTGTTTAGTGTCTACATTTTCCAGCATGTGTTAACTGTCTGAAATAGTACGTCTTTGGTTTTCGAGTTTTAATCAAGGCCAAAGAATCGCGTACTAGTTTTCCTATCACGTTGCCAGAGCACGGCATTTTATCGCAACACTCAGTACATGTGTATATCTTTACTGCATGGTGACTGTTTTAGCCAATTTTCGGCTAACTTTGACAGATTTTTTGTTAAAAATTGAGTTTGACAGAAAATTTGACAGAATGGATTTTTTGGGCAGATTTCTGGCAGAATTCTGTAAAAGTGGTTATTTGACAGAAAAACATTACAAATTTGAAAAAAATGGTACATTTCGCTTAAAAAAGCTTCTATCTTTCAAACAAACCCTTGCATAAATGGGACAGGTTGCCTGGTCTAGGTGCTGAGGTTCACTTGGAACCGGACTTTGTCGTGACGCAACCGCAATTTTCCCTGAAATTTACGCAATTTCATAACATCTTTATGTGACTATAGATTGTTTATAATGTAATTCTTGGGAATTTGGCAGATTTTTGCTAAATCTGACAGATTTTTGAAGTGCATTTAGCAGAATTTGGCCATGACCTTATGGTCACCCTGCTTTACTCGGTCATTCTATAAATTAGGGGTACAAAAGTGTGACATCTTTTGTGTTCTGTACTACACCTGGAGTGTAAACATCAAAAACAGAAGATTGAGCTGGCTCGGTCATCTACTGCGGCTGCCACAAGACGCACCAGCAAAGATTGCTCATGACGAAATACAAAGAAAAGTGAAAAGACCGGCAGGGGGGAAGAAACGAACATGGTTAGACACAATTAACAATGACCTCAAACCCCATGGCAGCATAGACCTGAACAAGGAGACCAATGACAGAGCTGGCTGGAGACAACAGATCAGACGCGCAATATTTAATTAGAAAACAAGTGCGCAACAGACGACGACTACACCTGACATGTGTATTTTGCGATTATCATTAAAATTGACTTCTAACTATTTTCGTATTTGTTTAGCAGTACTTTGCTTTACATGCATTTTGTAACCACTCTTGGAGATGGAAGGCGTTATAGGCCTAAGGATTGTGTCCTGAATTTACAAAATCATATTTGTGAGGGGTTCTGGCAAAATGAGACAGAACTGAGCAGAGGTCAAATGAGGCTCTTGGAAAGAGAACAAAAACTCTCCTTACAATACTGTTTGTTGCATTTCAAATGGATATTCAGTTGACAAGTTATTGCTTTTTAAAATTCGCATTCATCAACATAAATAAATATATCAATTCCTTCCATAGTGAAAACGCTCCTCTCAAAACTGCTATGCCTGCACTCATCTTTGGCCTTGAGCATTGTGTAAACACAATGTCCCCCACACCCCCATATACATGTACACACAGGAGCGCGGAAGTGGCCCATTGCATTGTGCATAGTTGTCCATGGATAAAAGAGCTTACTTTATTGGATGGATATTCTTTGTCTCATTTTGGACCGGGGTTAACATTGCCCAATCATGATGAATTTTACATTGACAGTGAGCTCATGAATCACCAAGTCTACTGTGCGATTAACAAAGTCAAAGGAGGGCGCTAGCGGAAATAATGGCGAGTTGAAGATGGTCAGTGCAGCATAAACTCGGCGAAAAAGCGACTTTACACACACATTTGAACCAAAAACTGGGGAGAGCCGTGAAGTTTATCCCAAAAATGACGGAGTTTAATCGGCTTCTTTTCTAATATAAATCACATTAACTGGAAGCATATAATATAGTCTTCGTAATACTCGATTAACGATGAAAACTTTGACCGCATTTTCTAGTTATGACATAAAAACTGAAAATACCCCGCTGATTCCATGTATTGTTCCAATGGGGGATGTTCGAGCGGTCGTGTGGTGCATTGAAAAGGAGCGAAAAGGAATTGATATGCAACTGAATTGAATGTCTTAAAAGTGAAGTACTGAGAAAAAGGCTTTTATTAAATCGTGAAAATGAAAGATTGCAAATTGGTTTTCCTTAAAAACACTTTTAGACCACAATTTGTATACTATTTCTTTAAATTTTGTGTAGCAGACATACAGTATCAAGGATTACAAATATCAATATATCTGAAAATCGGGGAAAAAAATCACCTCATTCGTTTTTTTTCTTTGTTGTATTTTTTTCACTGCGGCCTGTACCCAATTCCATCTCATTTTGCCTGAACGCCTCGCACATCAGACACATCAGATGTAATGAGGATATAAACAAATTTGAACTCAAAATTTATAGAATGATCCTTCTCCCCTCCTTTGAAAAACAAGTGTTCTAGACATAATGAACAGTTTCGGACATTTGCTCATCGCAACACTTCGTGTTACACGCTCAGTATGTGTGCGCGTGCGTTGTTGAGGGACCAAAACAGGCATATCTTTAAAACTTGGAAACGTACAAATCTGGGGTGATCAGAACATGAAAGAAGACATCTTCAGCTTTCTAAAGGGATGAAATTTGTCATTGACAGTGCTCGGCCAATAAAGACAATTTTAGTTTGAAAAACACATCCACGCTTTGCGCTCCTATTCAATAGTGCACATCTAGTTTTTTAGCATGCATGTCCAAGTGTTTTTTACCACAGCGTCAAAACGAAAAGGTCAGCAACCTTGGGATGTCGTCATTTGTAAAGTTGATGAAATTCTCTAAACGCTGATATAAGAAGCATGCTAATTGGACAATAAATTCCGACGACCATTTTGGCTTGAAAAAAATATAGTCAGTCAGTGTTTTGATTAGTTAGCCCACGGTTAGCCACCCACACACGTGCGCGCGTGTATTATATACATTGTATATAAATGTGCGCGCCTGTTGTGTAATGTATGTTCTGTAGTGTGTGTATGCAGCGCACCACGTACTTGAGCTTATGTTCGTTTGCCTACATGTGTATATCAACTTTTCATTATGAGTCCACAGTTCATGGTGCCCTTGCTTTCAGTGAAGCTTCAGCTGACCGAGTATTCTGTTCTCGTCCTCCATTTTTCTCGCCTCAGGTTTAGCCCAGACCCCCTCCTCTTCCTATCCACCATCATGATATCGGCAAACATCGCCCTCATCCCACTGTGCAATCACCTGTACCTACTCATCATGGACATGGCCATCATGGGCATCTTCATGGGAATCATCGACACTGTCGCAAACGTCTCGCTTCTCAAGATCTACGGCAAGTTGGTGTCGCCCTTCCTTCAGGTAAGTCTTTCTTTGCGATTTCATGTGTGGAATGCTTGCTTTCATTGTTCTAGAAGTGAGGAGTTGATTTCCAAAACGCAATAAAGGCCGTTTTGTTAATTTATAGAATATACTTTCTCCTGGTTGTCCAAAGTCAGTTTCAACAGCTGTAATAGGAAGAGTTTGTTTTCAAAACAGGATATGTACTCTAACTGTGTTCCCTTTTAGAAGCCTGCTCTCTCCTGGCCGCCCAAAAGCAATTTCGAATACAATAAAGTGAGAAATGAAGTTTAAAAACAGCTGTTATACTGTTTTTATTCTTTATATCTGTGCATAATTTCCACCTTTTTCAAATGGATATGTAGCATTTTGGAAATAAACTATTCCTACACAGTTCAACAAACTCTTCATTTGTTCAACAAAATTTAAGAATACAATAAATCGAAAAGGGAGCTTTAGAAACAGCTGTTATATCATTTTTATTCCGTAATGTTTCATAGCCGTGCAAATTTTTCACTTTTTTCAAATAGAAATATCGCATTTTGGAAATACACTCTTCAAAAATTATGTATTTTCATTGGTCTAGAAGTGTCAAGCGTAAAAAAAAATCTGTGATTTCATTGTTTAGAAAGATCATACACATGTTAAAAACCTCATGTGTAACCTCATTGTCTATAGGAGGAGTGCTTTGAGGAAATACTGTAAATTTCATTGGTCTAGAGGGATCACATGTAAAAAATACTATAATTTTATTGGTTTTAAAGGATCACTTGTAAAAACTATTGTAATTCCATTCATCTTTAAGAATCATGTGTGTAAAAAAAATGCTGGAATTTCATTGGTCTTGAGTGACTATGTGTAATTTAAAAAAACAAATAATGTTATTGGTCTAGAGGAGCTGTGTGTCAGTTACCTTAAATTTCTTAAAATGTTATGATTTACATACATTTTCTATTTTTCTTCCATTTTGAAGAGTATTTTTTCCCACTTACTGACATGTCCCGGTTTTGCTCATAACATACTTCAGTAATTCAGTAATATATTAATAATGGACCAAGTGCAATACTATGAACCTATTATTCATAATTTGATGAACCTTGAGGTTATTGGAACTTATGAAGAGTTTTTCCCCATTTTCTGAAACATCCCGGTTTTGCTCATATCAACGATGTTTTCACGAAGTGACCAAAACCTTCAAATTTTCGATTTTGAGTTTTGCCGGCCAATTTATTGCATGTGACAAAAAGAAGAATTTGGCCGAGTTTCAAAGCGAAATATTGTTTACTTTTGTGATTATCGTAAACAAACATTTGACAAAATACCTGAAATCTGTGTTTTTCTGTTTTCACGAATTGACAAAAACTTACCTCGTTAGCAGGGCCAGAGGAATAATGCATTTCTCTACACACGCGTTAGGATGGGAGTGGATGCGCGCGCCGTGAACGATGTCGATAAAGAACAGATGCGCGCGCGCTGCATTGACGTCAGACGCACAAATGTAACAATTTCTTAGAACGTTTTAGTTTTCACGAAGTGACGAAGAGTGTGTACAACTTAATAGGACAAAAAAGTGATGCCTTTGTGTTTTGCTGTTTTCACGAACTGATAAAAATTTTAATTGGTCTTTATTAATGAATTACAGTTTAATTAAGAGAGACTTCTGATAAATAACTTTGAATCAGCAAAGAACAAAGCATACGTTACTTGACAATGCAACAATTTCCTGAATCCATAACTAGAAACTAGTCGAAAAGGTGTTTTGAAAAAATGATTAACTTCAAAGGCGATTATCTCGGAATGACCTTTTTGCATGATATTAAGGATTTTGTCACTTCGTGAAAACACCGTCGATTTAGACTTTATAAAAAAAACCCATAATTTTAGCAGGTTGTTAATGTACCAAGTGCAATATTAACCTTTTATTCATAATTCGATCAACCCTGAAGTTATGGAAATGAGAGCATGTGGTAAACATATTTTTAGCCAGGGGGAAAAACAAAAAGAAAATCATGACATCAGGTGGTAATGATATCGATGCTCTGGCAATGGTGCGTTAAATCCTGCATCCGGCACATGCCATCTGATGACTCCGATAAATTGGAAGCGTAGGCTTAGCGCAAACAAGACGGTTATCTTTCGGTCGGATCTCTCATCCACTCCTGGATTATTTCCAATTTACGTCATTTGGATGATGACATTATATTTTTATTCCTGTGTTTTCCTGTCTGTTTGCTTTTGTCCCGCTTTCAACTGGAAGGTCAATTATGACGTAATTTCTCGCATCAGAAAACAGAATCTGATAATTTGCTTGCTACATGAAGGTTTGCTTTCATCCGTGGTAGCAACATTTGATCTGCACCCTATTTGCAGTCTCTGACAGTAACATGCATGTTGTGGTTTTTTGGACATATCTGGGCCCGATTTCACGGCGTTGCTTAACAGTTAGCAGAAAAGTTGTGCTTAGCATAGCAGCAAAGTTTGCATTCACGTCGTGGATGTGCTATAACGGTCACACGTGCATGGAGATTGCTATTATTATGTCACTAAGTTAAGCAAATTTTTCCTCTGAAGTAAGCGTGCCTTTTGCTGTGCATATGCTATACGGCCTTCATGAAATAGACAGTGGCTCTGTTAGCAGAAATTTGTGTGCTTAGCAGCGCCGTGAAATTGGTACCAGATATTGGTCTTTATTAATATCAAAAAACTTAAAAAGAATTTGTAGAAAACAAATTCTAGCAATGGGTCACAGTTAGAATAGGTATTTGGTGCCATTCACAATAAAAGAGAAATTGACTAGGTTTTTTTTGTTGTTTCGGGGGGTTTTTTTGAGAAAAAAAAATTAATTGGATAAATTAGATTGAGTATTAAAGACTGAACACTGAATTGTCTGCTCCAAAGTTCTAGATTGATTGACTTGCATGTTTGCTTGTAATTTTACCTTTCACCTAAATTTAAAATCACTCAAAGGTTACGCAGAATCACTTGATAAATGTAGGTTACCTAAATATACATTTTACTGTACCATGGTTAATGACTAGGGCTAATGTCTTCTTCCAATTAGGCCAAAAAAAGTTCTGCTTCTGGTTTCCCTATCTACCCTATTTTGACAGCCCCTACCCTAATTTTTTTGGGGAAAAATGAGGGGAAAAAACCTGTAAACCATGAATTACTACCGTTTACTGTATACACGCAGACACCTCCATATGATCGTACACACACAAAAATTCCGAAAAAAAATTCCCTACCTACCTACCCTTTTTTCAAATGCCATGTAATCGGAAGCAGAACTTCTTTTTTTTTGGCCTTTGTATAATGCATGTAAAATTGTATCTCTGCAAAGTATAGGCCTATCAATGGAGTAACATAAGATGTAAAGTATATGCAATCTGGTAATCGCACAATTTTGGTATGTTTCAAACCTCCTCGGCTGACTTCTGTTTAATAGCAAAGCCATGTCAGACGAGTGGTGTCTATAAAATGTATCGTGTGATGTACATTGTATATAGAGGCATTGGTTACATTTGACTATTGAACATTCATTGAAAGGCAACAGGCCCACATGTATTTTTTTTAAACTTTATTGAGAGGTTATCCATAGTTGTCCTGATTAATTTAGTTAATACATGTAGTACTCAAAAACGAAAGTGGCTCTTTTTGAAAACTTTATCTGAGGTTAAACACAGATTGATCATGCAGAACAGACTGTTCGAAACACCAGGCATTGTGCTACGTAGCATAAACCAATATTCCCTCTCTTTGTGCTGCCTCGACTGCAAATTTCATATCCTAAAAGAGCCAGGTTATTTGTCCACCTTACAATGGGATAAGTTAGCTATATACATGTGTGTTACACATATAGTAGCTAGTATACTATAGTAGGTTTGCGGTAACACCATGTGAATGATACCTCTTTGTGAGTTGTGTGGTTCTCTTCTCAAAGCCACACAATATTATCGCAAACCTCCCATTCATTGATCCTGTCCACCATGCAAACCCTAAATGTTCATATAAATTAGTACATTTGGACTTTTCATGGTCAATGAAAAACCAGTTTTCTGTAAGTTTTGTTGGGAAATTTGACATTTTTGTGCAAACAGTATATCAGATGGCAAAACATCTGCCAGACATCAGCATGTACAAACTCTTAAAGGGCAGTAAGAAAATGATAAATCACACTATATACATGTACGTTGATATTTCTACCCCTTCCTCTTTTTAGGGTTGTATAAGCTGAATTTACTTTTCGGAGAGCAAATCTCACAGCTCCTTTGACAACTTATTCTGAGGCTCAGCCGATTGATCATAAGAACAACAGGGGATTAGTTTTATTGTTGAGTAAAAAAATTCTACGAAATACATACATGTCTTACTGTAAGTTCCGTCACTCACAGTTTCGTCAGGAAAATTATATTTTCTGTTTGATAACCCTGATTCATTCATGCAGGCGCTGCATTTCTGCTACGGCCTGGGGGCCTTCATAAGCCCCATCGTGGCTGAGCCCTTCCTCCTCAACGAAGACTGCTCCCCGTTCATAGACAACAGCACCTCCAGCTCTGACCCGCTGATCCCCATTGTAGAGCGAGACGACGGGAGCCGGGTTACCGAGCAGCCGCCGGTATCCATCGAGACGCTACAAGACGCTCAGGACAACACCAGGGTGCGATACGCCTTCTGGATCATGTCTGCAGTACAGGTAAAGCATGTTACCACAGCCAATTTTGTGAAACATGCCTTCGGCATAACAGCACTTATACTACTTTTTATTGTGTAAGTTGCGCAACATTTTACGGTAAGGCTCTTTGGTAAAAAATAATTAAGGAGGTGCGGAAATAGAGGGCGCTGTTGGAGCTACCGCGGAACATTTTGGAGAAAAAAAAAGGTCGACGCGCATGATTAAAATCGACACGCACGCTGACCAGAGACCGACTTATTTTTTTTTTTGGCCTAATACAAACAATTTGCGCAACTTTGTTTTTGAGGTTAATAAAATGCTATCTTACCCTTGACATTCAATTCTTGGAGTTGCTGCCCGATTCTAAAGAAAGTCTGATCCTCAAAAAAAATCTATTTTCAAAATGGCGGTCTGAGGTGACCCAACAACTATGTTGTTATCAATATGAAATCTTCAATACACAAACAGCCCTCCTAAATTCTGTAATTATCCTTTTTTGAGTTTCCCGTTTCCATCGACAGTCAGACAACTATTTTTTTCAAAATGGCGGGCTAAGGTGATTCAACAACTGTTTTTGTGGCCAAAATAAAATCTTACACAATCAGTCCTCCCATGGTCCTCCTAACATCTTATTATTATTATTATTATTGTTAATCATTTTTGGTAATGAAACCAAGGATTCCTCAAAAGCGCCCTAGGCACTCTAGCTCGCAAGCCTGAAGAAACCTGTGGAGAGAAGACAATGAGAAGAAATTACAGTTTTAGAGGTGGGAGGAAAAGCCCAGAAGAATATTCTGAGGAAAACCCACGGAATCAGGTAGGGACTGAAAACCCAATCCACATATTGGCCCAGGTGGGATTCAAACCTGGGACACAGCGGTGGAAGGCGAGGAAAGTACCGCTACGCCAACCTGACTCCCCAGTGATTATCCGCGAGTCTTAAAGATGATTGAATTAATAAAAAAATTGCACAGCTGCGCCAAGTTTCCTTTGCACAGATGCGAAACAAACGTGAAAGGTAAATCCTACGCATAGCCTAAATTTACGCGCTGTTTGTGAAATTGGCTGCAGGGTTTGTCTTGCAAGAAACCCTCCCGAATCGTCATAAAAATCTAACGGCCTATTTTGTGCTTTGTCTGTATGAAATTCAAATGGCTGGGCTTTAGCTTGTTCATCCTACAAAATCATCCAAATCTTGATAGATTTGAAGGAATTTAAAGGGTTTGGGTTAATCCCCAACCCTCCCCAATCTTTCAAATATATACAGGTGTAGACATGTGTGCAGTTTTCAATCAAAGATATTGTACTTATGATTGATAACTGCTTTTATAGTATTACCGTTCATCCTTGCCATAAATTGTGGGCTTAGACATTTTTTTCAGACATAAATCAGGATTTTGTGCTATCAAAATGGATCCTTTGACATGTTTGAATACCCCAATATTTGTGCTGTGATTATCTAATGACAGAATAACAGATGTTTATGCAGTACTAAAACAAAATTTGTATATATGTTTTTAAAGGGAAGATACAACATTTGCAAACATCAAAAAACAAAGTGATCAAATTATCACGAAATACCTTACTGAATTGTTAGGGATTGGCAGTCTAAAGCATCCTGTAAAATTGTGGCTCCTGGTGTGCTGACATTTTCAAGAAAAACTGTACCGACCAGCGTTGGAAAAAAACTGGCTTTTTCTCAAAAAACTGCTCCTATGATTTTTTTATATTTAGTTATTTCGCATTTTCTTTGCAATAGATTACACACCTGTGAAGGAATACAAACCTGCTAGAGTGATTCTTTGATCTTACAATTCCCCAAAGTCTTTACGTTAGTTTCATCTTAAGTGGGGTCGGGGAACCAGACTACAAGAAAATGATTGTTTTTTTTTGGTTTTTCCAGTATCTACAAGCCCAAAACGTGAAACAAGTCAGTTTAACAATATTTGCTATAACATACTAATCCTCCAAATCCATTTATTTCTGAAAATCGCAGCAAAAGCAAATGTTGTACATTCCCTTTAAATGCATTTATAAACATTTTAGTTATTTTTGGCCTGTCCTTTTTTATTATGAGAAGTTTTAAAGAAGTTTCCATAGGCAAAAACTTGTGTTAAAAGTCTACTGACTCAAGTACTTTCTTATCGGAATTGAATGGTTTTGTAAAAACAGATATTTTTGGGTTGGATGCCCCATACTTCCAGATTGCAATATTCAGATGTTACGTGAGGGTCATTTTGGGTTTATATATGTAAGAGTGTTTGGATTTAGAGGTCTGTTGTACAATGTAGGTGCGTCCGTTGGGTCTGTAGACTGTTGCTGGGTGACGGCCTGGGTGGCATGTGATCATAGCGGATACTGATAAAGAGAAGAATACCACACCAAGCCGTTAACCAAATAATTGATTTGCACTAAAGGATGAAAGCCCTAGTCTGACTGGAATGGTGTGCAGGCAGATATATATTTTTTTGGGGGGGGGGGGGGGGGGGGGGGGGGGCTCTGTTAATGTTTGTTTTAATATGATTGGTTGTTATTGTGGTTTTTTTTATGTTTCACTTCAATTATAAGATGGAATTTTGCGTCGGGGTGATATAAATCAAATTAGGTTTTGCCCTTCACCGACGTTTTAAACACTGTATACTCAGTGTGTTACCTCCCGAGTGAAAGATGGAAATATCACTCGGGTGGGACTGAACCCAAGACCTCCTGTTTTCTAGTGCAGATGTCTTACCACTCGACCACCGAGCTAACGGGATCGGTTGGCTGGTGCGAATCTGATGTACATAGCAGCGGGTACCGCATGAACTATTATAAGATGGAATTTTGCGTCGGGGTGATATAAATCAAAATATTTCGATTCAGTTGGCCACTGACTTACCAGTATCAGTCTTTCTCTCTCATAAGCCAAGTACACGCATGCAACTTTTCCTCATATCCACTGATTTCCTCGTTTTTATTTCTCTGGAATGCCATTACAAATTGAGAAAAAACACTGTACAAAGTCTGGTGTGGTTTGGAATTTCCTCGTTTTTTCTAAATTCCCAGTTGCATGCCTGCAAGTACAGAGCACACTGGTAAAGTACAAATTAAGGTTGATGTACTTCAGCAGTGTTTTAATAGAAAAGTTATGTAGCGGCAGCTGGCAAGTGTTTATTTTTCAAGTTTCAAAAATTAGAAGAATTAGGTCAAACGTATCACGTAAACATTAGGTAAATTACTATGCAAGCACCAAGGACAGAGCAGTGTCCCAGTGTCAAAGATTCAATTTTCAAATTTTTGTTTGTCATTATTTTTTTTATCCCTTTCCTATATAAACCAATAGCTCACAGATAATTTATTGCATAAAGGTGTTTGAAGCACTTTAAGTCAAGGTATTTTGTGTGATTTTAATTAGACAGATAAATCGACTGGCGTTAATTTTGATGAAACAAGTACATGTGTGTGCATGTTCTGAAGCCTGTGAAATTACGTCAAAACTCATAGAGAGCAAAGTGTTTATACAAGCACTTTATAGTTACTTTAAAGTTGTAGAGTCTATATAGGGTGAATAAAAAAAACGAAACCCAAATGTTGGGACCATTGTTTTAGTGAAGTTCTGCATGTAGCACTTTCAAAATCTAGGATATAAAAGCCCGATTCATAAGCTTTCTTTTAGTACAAGAATCACTCAAATCACTCATGTAATTTTCAAGTTATGCGGAGTTTTAAACACAACTGCCATTTTAAAGGGAAGATACAACATTTGCAAACATCACATAAAAAAATGATCAAATTATCACGAAACACCTTAATACTGGATTGTTAGGGAATGACTTATAATTATTAAAGCATCCTGTACAATCGTGGCCCCTGGTGTGCTGTCATTTTCAAGAAAACTGGTATTTTTCCAACGGTGGTGGGCGGGGGGTGTTGTGTTTAAAACTCCACAAATTGAAAAGTACATGAGTGATTTGAATGATTCTTGTACTAAACGGAAGCTTATGAATTGGGCTTTCATATCCTAGATTTTGAAAGTGCTACATGCAGAACTTTACTAAATGATGGTTTAGACATTTGAGTTTTCGGTTTTTTTTACTAACCCTGTACAACTGTATAGAGCTTTATAGAGCTTTATTTGAGTTCAAATTGAAGATATATGTTGTTTTGGCGCACATTTCTTGTCATGCTTGTTGAAAAAAAAAATGATTTGCAGTGTTCTCAAGAGAGAACAACCTTTATGCATGTTTTTTTCCCATTTCTTATTGATCCATTTTGTATTTGCTTGTAATGGGTCCGTTGCACATGTACATGTACTTTAGGCCTTTTCTGACTGCTGTTGGACTCACTGCACAACAGACACAAACTGTACACACAAATATTGAAGCCAAGTATAATTTTTTCCCCCCAGATTCCCATAATTTGATGGTCTTTTTACTACTGATGAGGAAAAAGTGTCTGGATCCGCTATTGGGGAGGGATTCCAGCTCAACCAAACTGGACCGATCGATGTATGAGGATTTAGATGGAGGTAAGGGTTAAACAGAAACCAGGACAGGCATCCAGGGACTGCTCAGGCAATTTGAATATGGGGCTCGATTTCAACCCAAGTGAGAAGGGTGATAACAACCGCGATCTCACATTACTGCTCCTTGCGGATCGTGCAGATTAGATCGCATTTTATTGGGACCTTTTCCGCATATATATGCCCAAATGGTCTAGGATCCAGATCAGAATTTTAAATTCCTGCGCAAATAGAGAAATATGTTGATATGACCGAAATTGCTTGAAATTTGAGTTTTCACATTTTGTGTTTTCGACCATAATTTCAACCTTCTGTATACCCTTACTGTTGCCCATTTCCTGTTCGAGACTGGGGAGTTGTCAACCTCCAAAGTTGAGTTTTCATCTCAAAGTAAAACAAATGTACCATATGTTGTGATGAATATACAACCATTTAAAAAGGCATAGATTCATTGTGAAAATTGAGAACACATAAGCAGCAGTGGCGTAGCTAGGGTTCTTATCCTCGGGGGGCGTGTGGGGGCTTGAGGTTACAGTGGAGGGGCGCCCAAACAATTTCATCCGTGCTGAAAGGTAGACGAGTTTTTTTCACCGGACACCCGCCCTACGTAAATCAAATAGTGTTGGGGGGGGGGGGGGGGCTGGACAACATCTTCCCATGGGGGCGCTGTTCATAACCTATGTTAGACAATAACTACCCCTATTCGCTTTCCACGGACGTTAAAATAAACAGCCAATCGCGAAAAGAAAAGGTTTTGTTGAAAAATACGCACAAAATCGCGGAAAAAGGGACTTTATGTTCTTCCGGCTAATCATGGTAACTCATCTGGCTGTGCTTTTCTTCGTAGCTATGCCGCTGATAAGCAGCTGTAGCAGTTTGAGGGTTGCAAACAGTGAACATGGGGGGGGGGAACACAATGCCTATGCACAGAATTTTGTGGACAACTTGTAAATGAATACATCAAAAATCTTATACATCAAACAGCTGCCGTAACTGCAGTAATAAAACTTAAATATGTAAACGTGATGCTCATGACATATTGTTACTTCAGTATTTTGATGTGTATTGTATTTTGAAAACAGTAATTGTATTACACCCCCAAATTATTTTAAATTAAGGGTTAGGTGGTTTGGGTATATTTGTTATCGATAAATTAAAAATAATAGAATTTTGAAGTGCCAAAAAGGTTAGGGTTGGTACATGTACATGCAAAAGATTCATCTGAGCACATATCACTGTATACATGGAGAGGCCCCCTAGAATAGTAGGCCTCCGTCAGTCAAAGATGACCATGGATGATGTATCCTAGTTTTCTGTCCTATTGGAGCAGCATCATCTGTGACTGTAGAGACCAATGCGAGAGTGGCAGTCTCTACCGCATAGGTCACGTCTGTGGATGGTCCCAGCTCTGTCAGAGTTGCTGTGCTCCTTTCTGCGGGCCCGCTTGTCTTCCACTGCACTCAGCAGTTTCCCTTCCCCTTTCTTGAGGTGTTGGTTCAGGGCACTTTTCTATCTCTTGCGGTCAATAGCAAAAGCACTACGCCAGCTGTTGTTTAGATTAACCATCATGGGGCAGTTGCTTTGTACAGAGTGAGTTAAAAAAACAAAAAACGAAACCTAAATGTCGGGACCACTTTATTAGTGTAGCATTTCAGTATCTAGGATATGAAAGCCCATTTCATGAGCTTTCTTTCAGTACAAGAATTATTCAAATCACTCATGTACTTTTTACGTTACGGAATTTTAAACCCAAACACCATTTTAAACTTCTTGTCCACGGATCACAAAAAAAGATAAAAGTGCTCTTTCAGCAAAACAAAAACATTTGACACACATCCCCTATGTGAATGTGTGGACAGAACTTCAGAACGGTGTTTGTGTTTAAAATTCCATAACTTGAAACGTACATGAGAGATTCAAATGATTCTTGTACTAAAAGAAAGCTTATGAATTGGGCTTTTTATATCCTAGAGATTGAAAGTGCTACATGCAGAACTTCACTAAAAAAATGGTCCTGACATTTGGGTTTCGTGTTTTTTTTTTAACTCACACTGTATAATAGCTGGCACAATGCTTTTGCCATTGAAGGGGGCCTCCTTGAAAGTACATACAGGGTGAGTAAAAAAAAAACGGAACCCAAATGTTGGGACCATTGTTTTAGGGAAGTTCTTCATGTAGCATTTTCAAAATCTAGGATGTGAAAGCCCAATTCATAAGCTTTCTTTTTGAATCATTTAAATCACTTATGTACTTTTCAAGTTTTTTTCACAAAAAAGTTCAGTGTTCTTTCAGCAAAACGAAAAGAAATCACATAGGGAAGTGTGTGAATTGTTTTCATTTTGCTGAAAGGACCCACACTTTTTTTGTGATCTGTGGACAGAACCTTAAAACGGTGGTTGTGTTTAAAATTCCGTAACTTGAAAAGTACATAAGTAATTTTAATGATTCTTGTACTAAAAGAAAGCTTACGAATTGGGCTTGCTTCATATCCTAGATTTTGAAAGTGCTACATGCAGAACTTCAATAAAACAATAGTCCCGACATTTGGGTTTCGGTTTTTTTAACTCACCCTGTACAGTAATATAGCATGCTCAGATTGTTCCTTACAGTATGTACATGTAGTTAGTTGGTTGTTCTGATATAGAGTATGATATCTTTGAGTGTAGAGCTATGAATTTTGAGTGATTAATGGGATGGAAATAATTTCCAGGGGTTGGCCACAAGTATCATTAGTCGACTGATCAAACAGCACGCACTGGGTTGTAGTGTTTCCAAAAGTCCTTCAGTGCTGATGCCGGAGGGATCATGGAACGAGAATATTACTTCAAACGAGTCGATGTATTACCATTTAAAGTGGTCGCTCATCAAAAACAATCTGTTAAATCACTCGAGTAAAGATTAATCTACTTATGAAAAGTTCAAATGCTCCGCTTTATTTGTAATTTAATTCTGGACAGGAAATTTTTCAGTTTACTGGTACTGAAAAATATATGGGATGTTAACTAAAAGCATTACGATTGCAGAGACATGATGAAGTATACCATCAATTAGCTGTTGTATTTTGAGTGAAATTGCTTAAGTAAAAATTAAAATAACAAATGAATGTTGTTTTGATTGCACTAAGGGAATAGTAATAATCTTTGGTATTTAATCTATATATTAAAAAGGATTTTATAAACTGAACTACAATAAAAAAAAAATGTTTAAACAGATATGATACTTTATTAAAAACAGCATAGAATTAACTATTTATTAAAAAAAGGTATATACTTGTCATTAAGTAAGATTTGAGGCTTTCCATGGCCGGAGATACTAATGAATGAAAGATTTGTGGAAACACCATGTGCGAATAATTTCTCATTTAAGAGAATGGTTCTGAAAAGAACCAGAGGTATAAACTCGACGTTCCGGTCAGTATGCTCTGACTGTCTTCAGGAGAGTGCCTAAACTCTAAGGAAGTAAACTCTAAGCAAGAAGCAAAAGTGAAATCGGTGAAGTGTTTAGAGCTTATACCTCTGGTTCTTTTCAGAACCATTCTCTTAGTTGAGAAATTATTCGCAAATGGTGTTTCCGCAAACCTTTCATTATTTACTTGTGATTAGTTTATGACATGATGGAGATTTGCAGTTATCCTCATTTCCGATGGGTCGTTATCCGAAAGCTTAACGTAATCCAAAAGTTTAGGCATGTCAACCAAAATGTCTAGCGAAGTTATCATACCTGGCATAGAGCCAGCATTGGGGGGGGGGGGGGGGAAATAATTATTTCAGTTCAAATACAGAGATTCGACAATGGAATACTACAGCAGTGTTCATTAGTTCTAACAACGAGATATGTTTAACTCTTTTCTGTATTGATCGTCTCGATGTATTTTATATCAAAGGTCTCAAAGCACTTCACAATTATTACCCTGTTCATCAGGCAATGAGACCAGTTTTTGCAGCAGCTCGAGATCAGCACATTCTAGTCTCTACCCTCACAGGTACCCATTTATACTCCTGGGTGGAGAGAGGAGCGGCAATTGTAGTAAAGTGTCTTGCCCAAGAACACAAGCACCATGTTCCCTGACAGGGTTCAAACCCATGTACCATGGCATATGAGTCGAACACCGTAACCATTGGACCACACTGCTCCACATATATAAATGTATCAGCTTTGAGAATATACCCACTTAAGACAGAGAAGCAAGATGGTACAGATTTATTCAATTCATATAAGTATAGGAGTGTGAATGTTTCCAAGAAACCTCCACTTATCGCTGAACTCACCAGCACGCAATCCTTCAAATATCTTAAATCATTTTGTGAAAAGCTGACGATGTTCATGTGTGTGTACATTGTCCCTTTAGAAATTTAAGGCGATTCAAAGGTTTGTCTAATAAAGAGCATACAAACAGCCTATTAGGGAAGCAGACATTTATTGAAGAACTCTCACAATTTCTTAATCAAACTGTAATGTAATGTCCGTGACAGAGCCACTTAACCATGATATCTAATTCATGAGTCAAAAAAATGATCCAAAACTTGTAGTCTGTAATCTCTTTGACAATTACTAGATGATTAATGCATACAATCTGAAAAATACCTTTTCAGGTTTATTCACAGAGCTCTTGAAATGTCTGATTTGTAATGTTATTGCCACTGGAATTGCCCAAGCATAAACTGATTTTTTTTTTTTGTCAGTTGGGAAGTGTCGGATTTTGGCATGCGCTGTCACAAATTCTCATTTCACCTTGAGTCGTTGATATTAAAAACCTTGCTTGTTTTTCTCCCTTCCCACCACCCACCCCCTCCTCCCTGTGTTTCTCCTGTCTTTCCCCGCAGACACAGACGAGGTGGCCACCACGGCCCAAGAAGGCCAAGCAGGCCAGACGGGTCCTTGCTGCACCAGCACCTACTCCAAAGTCATCTCGGTCACGCTCCTGTCCTCCTCCCTTCTCTTCCTGTACGATGGCCTGCAGGTAAGATTTACCGTCTGATGAACCAATCTGCGTGACTGGGTAAACATGGGTGAGACGGGCACACGGCTGTCGTAATATCTCAATGTCAGATTGTCAGATTGAGACAGATTGCCAAACAACAGAAGAGATTTTTCTTATCAGAAGCTTGTTTTTTGTGTGTGTAATTGCCTCTCCTGTCGTAATATCTCAACATCAGATGTGGACTGATTGCCAATCATTCTGAACAATAGAAAGCTTTTTTTTTCCCCGGCAGAGATGCCACTTTTCAGGTTTTAACCTGAATTCAGGTTTTTTTCCAAAAAGTGTGACAAATTAAAAGTGCTGGATTTGGTCTGAAACATCCAGAAAACACATTTTTGAAAGGGGGTAAGGGTAGTTTCAGGTTTTTTAGTAGTGTTTCAGGCTTTTTATTGATATATTGGTGGCATCTCTGCCCCGGTTATATTTTTCATTTATTTTTTTTTCACAGAAGCTTCTTTTTAAAGATAACACTTGTAGTTAGCACAAAGACAAAATCTTAAGTTTTAGTGTTCTTTTTTTTAATTCAAATATGAAATTGTCTGAAAAACTTGTAAAAATTTGACTTTATGTTATGTAATCCTTGAAAATGCACCTACGTCCCATGTATTCTAATTTTCAAATTTCGTGTTGCCATTTTCAAGGGTATTTTGGTGCCTTTTAGTTTTGTATGCTTATGCAATAATCCATATTCATATGAGCAAAAATGGGATGTCGTTCCAGGCAGAAAACTCAATGAGACAACTATTTCAGCCCCAAAAGATGCCAGAATATTGGATATTTTGCTGTTGTCAATTCTATTTTCGTTGGTGATTTGTTGCTGTGTCCGTACACGGCAGTATTCCAATGAATAAACTTTTCTCACAAATGTTTTCAATGAACAAGTGTTTGAGTTCACAATTTGAACTGAAACCCCTTAACTGAATAGTGTTCCTGAAATGGCAACACAGTAGCAGCGCCCTCGGTTGCCCAGAAAAGCATGGACAATTTTTAATATTCAAAGAAGTGCACTTTTCAATATAATTAACCAAAACATTACAACAAGTAAATGGCCATCCTCCATACAAACGATCAGCGTTGAATTCACACACAGATGGGTATAGGCTTATTGCATACACCCTCGACTTACTGAAACCATAACTCCTAAAAGAAACGGGTACTGAACATAGTAACTGTACCCAATGTAAATTTAGTTTGTCTGCTTGCTGTAGAAACCAAATATCTCTGCTTGTGGAAAAATTTTATGTACGTACTTTTCCAATTCAGAACGACAGCAATTGCACTTCCGGCACACTGACTATGTCAGACATCCATTAACAAAACATGCGTTTTAGGTGGCCGATTCGCTCGGCCAGATGGCATACGGGGCACTCTATTTGCCTGTCACTCACGAAGTTTATTCAGAAAGTAACTGCACAGCTAGTTGCTGTCAACTCTAGTGAATATTCAAACCAAATTTGAATGAAATTCACAAAAATTTGATGAACGTACTTTTCAATATTCATAAAACCATTAATCAATCTGAAGTTGATCGACTGTATAATCGACAGTATAACCCAATTTTGGCTTGTGTGTGCGCTGGGTGCGCGCCGTGCGCGTGCAACTCGCCGCGCACGTGCAGCTTGTTCTTCACGCGCGGTACTGCATGCTGAATGGCTAATGGTCATTTGTTGACTGCGTTTGCACGCGGCTAAATCAGGTCACCGCGTATTCACTAAATGTGTATTCATTACCTCCCAAATCAGTGCGCGCTGTAATTGGCTGTATGTAACTGAAATGGTAATATCAGAGCTCATTAAAGTTTGTCACCTCGCCCGTGCGTACTTGTTGTAAAGAAGGGCTGTCAAATAGTTTGTGTACATTTCAGAGTAGTAAAATGTTGCACAAAATATGTTCCTCAAAATATTTATTTCACAGACCCTTTAAAATATGGTGTCTGTAGCAGTTACACCTTCAGGCACCACCCACGAAGAAAGCCCTGATCAGATCTATCTGATCACAACAAGGTGATCAGACGTCCTTCAGTGTCAGACAATCTCTCAGTGACGGTTTCAAATGCAACTTGCAAAAACTTCTCCCTGTAATTTGAATTGTAAATTGACCAAGCGGCAAGATTTATGGTAAAATTGAACCGTTCGATGTTTTTCCAGCAGTGAGGACACTTTTATAAGCGTTGGAAGAACACAAGCAGAGCAGACAAAGTTAGGCCTTTAAATTTGATATGTCAGGAGTATATACATGACCTTAAAGGAAATTTTGTCTGTACTAAAATCAAATCTTGTTCATGGTTAAAGTTGGCGTTAATGATAGAGTCCATCATTTGTAATTTGTGCATTTTGTTCGTTTGAAGCAACAAAAGTGTTCAAAATATAATGAAGGATACTGAACAACTAACCTGATGAAATTTCAGCTCAGCTTCAGCTGTATATTCCGAGAAAAACAGCATTCTAGGATCTCAATTTCAAATCAAAAGTTGCTGAATCATGTTTTGAATTGGGCCTGAATTCAGCGTCCGAGACACGTTCTCTCTGAGCCGATTGCAGCTATGCGATGTCGCGCACTGATCCGACGAATTATAGCAACCGCGCGCGCGTGTGCATTGTGCCAATGCTTGCGCGTGCTTTGCCGAATAACAAAACGAACTACTAATTTATATTTTCCTACGGTTAAGACGCACCGTTGGAAACGCCTTCTTTCGTTGATTACTTCAAAATGCCAGCTTGCCAGAACGAACAATTTCACAGAGAGTTTAGTCCCTTTACTATCTTTCAACCAAGTATGTTTTTCAACAATAATTAGGCCAGTTACTTTTTGGATGGCTGCAAATGATGGACTATAGCTTTAAGCATGTTAAGAAAAATCTAAGCATACAAACCAATGAAAACAATGAATTTTATATAAAAATGTTGAAGAAAAATGTTGAAAACTATGAAGCAGAAATGCAGGGCACCATGCCACAAGATATATCAGAATAATAAATTTGTTGTCGTTTCCATGAAGAAACAACTTTGAATTTTCAGGGCTGGAAGACAATTGTGATGTTTTTGTTTAGTGGTTTGTAATTTATTTATTTTAATTTTAAAATGTTTAATTTGTTTATATATATTTGAAATAAAAAAACAAAGGTGGCAGTGGAACAAAGGACGTAATGCTTTCCCTTGTGATACAAGGGATTAGCAGTGTGTATTGCAGTGCTGTGGTCAAGTCCATCACATGCCCGGTCTAAACTAAATCAGAAGCTTCACAAGTCCATTCAAAAGTAGACGAGGATGAACAAGAACAAAGCAATGCTTTTAAATAGCGTGCTATTTGACTCAAGGCAGAAGGATTTGTGATGGACTTATGGTGGTCTTGCAAAGACTCGTGATGGACTAACAAGCGCACCAGCGGTACATAGTCTGGGGAATTCAAGTGAAATACAACATAATGAAAAGTTTGGGACATTTGCTCATCCCAACACTGCGTATACACGCTCAGTAAGTGTGTGCGTGCGTTGTTGAGACACCAAAACAGGCATATCTTTAAAATTGGGCAACGTACAAATCTGGGGTGATCAGAACATGAAAGAAGACATCTTGAGCTTTCTATAGGGATGAAATTTGTCAATGACAGTGCTCGGCACATAACGACCATTTTAGTTTGAAAAAACACATCCACTCTTTGTGCTCCTATTCAATTGTGCACATCCACGAAGCGTAAACTAGTTTTTTAGCACGCATGTCCGGGTGTTTTTTACCACAGCGTCAAAACGAAAAGTTCAACAACCTTGGCGTGACGACATTCATAAATTTGATAAAATTCTCTAAATGCTGATATAAGAAACATGCTAATTGGACAATAAATTCCGACGACCATTTTGGCTTGAAAAAAATATAGCCCGTCAGTGTTTTGATTAGTCAGCCCATGCATGGTTAGCCCACAGTTAGCCACCCACACGTGCGTGCGCGTATTATGTACATTGTATATAAATGCGCGTGCCTATTGTGTAACGTGTGTTCTGTAGTGTGTGTATGCAGCGCCCCGCGTATTTGAGCTTTTGTCCATTTGCCTATATCAACTTTTCATTATGACTTGTGGTATCAGACGTATACAAACATACAGTGCTGAAATTTAATTTTCGAACAAACAGAATAGTTCTGACATGGTTTCCATAATCTATCCTGATCTGTCACTTGTTCAGGACATCTCCAAATGAAATGTAATCTTTGATTTGATACATCTACTCCAAGTCCAGGTGTACGTGGATAATTTTTATACTTAAATCTTGTCTTCTTCTAGGCTGCTTACGGCGGTTTCATCTTCGCCTACGCCATGAAGAACGTGGCCATCAAGCTCTCGGCTACGGACAGCGCCTATATCACATCCGTCTACTGGGGCTGCTTTGCCCTGGGCCGACTGCTCTCCATCCCCATCTCCACTAAGCTATCGCCGGGGGCCATGCTCATGTGTAATCTGGTGAGTCATAATGGACCGGCGACTGTAAACCCCACGGAGAGTCGCGCTTAATTCCCTGCTAAAGTAGACGTCTTTAATTGCCTCCAACACAAAAAACAAAAGTCAAGAAAAGAAAGAGAAAAGAAAAGAAAACAAAAGTCATGGACAATGTATTATTTTTGGCTGGCGACCATGCTAGTCTGGAGCCCCGTTTCCAAGACATGATTTCACATGAGGCACTGATGTAAGTCTGGTTCATACTTCACATGAATGTGCATGCAAATTTGATTTCACGAAAAAGATTGCTTTAAAATTGTCACAAGTTGAAATGTGTTCACCTTTTGTGAAATTTCATATTGAGTATATGCGTACACAAAGTCGCTTTCCCGTTTGCAGCTAAAGTGTGAACCAGTCCAGTAATTGTGCATGTAAATTTTTACCAAACTGTGGGTTCTTTTTAAAAGATTGTCGTAAAAAATGCTCTTGAATGTTTGATTTCTTACATATTCTAACAGTGTCCCAATTCTCAAGAGGACAGTCATTTTGTGTAAGATGCATTTTGCAAATACATCCTCGGTCGCACGGCGAAGTGACGTATCATGTGCACAAAGTCCATGAGACGATACGTCACTTCGTGGTGCACCCGACGACATGTATATGCATTACATGTATTACAACTACACCAAATTTTCTCTCTTAACCAGTTCACGCCGGGATTATTTTGACAAGAATGGAACGAGGCGCGGGATTACTTTTCACTTGACCTCATGCTCAGCACACTCATATTTCCGGCCTCGCTCCCTGCAAAACAGGTCGCTGACGGATATTTCCGGCCTCGCTCCCTGCGTGTTTATCCATCATCCGTTCTGAATACCGCAAAACACGGGTGTGCAATGTACACGTCATCTGGCGCGAACTGCTTAACCTATCATTACAAAAACCTGCTGTAGTCACAAATCGTTTTTCTGCAAAAAATGGAAGTGTTTTTGCAAAAGCATGCTTCCATTTCTCCTTGTATAAGCGTCCTACTTCTTCCCACACGTGTTGACATTCTACAGCAGAACGTTTCAATTTCACCTCCCGTTAGCCAATAAGCTTCCCCCTTAAGGGAATCAGCATTAGCTCCCTGCTGCTATAGAGCTGTCTGAATAAAGCCTCGTGTCTCTCAAATCTTGATAAGTACCCGGCGAATCTGTTTTTCTTGGCTTCCCCGATGGCTAGATTTGAAGCCGAGCTGCGATTTAGGGAATAATTTATTTCCAGACCCTGTGAAAACATTGCAGTAATTACAAGTCTAAGTAGCTACGTGTATTTGTCCATGTATTTATTTTACATTTCTTTTACAAGGAATGTGTTTAGAATCCGAAATACTAACTTGGAAGAGGATTTTAATATGTACAACACTGCACAGTGCGATCTCAACCAAAATGGGCAGACAGGTCTTAAGTCAACAAAGTGTGTATTATTTCCTGAAAAGAAAAGTTACAAAATTGATGCCTTGTTTTTGAACTTTTGTTGGTAGATAGTTTTCCTATCAAACATTAAATACATCATATGCATAAAAATAACAACCTAATGTAATGTAATGAATATTTTGAAAATTGTAGGATTTGTGTATGCCCCCTCCCACTAATTCTACAATGTTAAAAAAACTTACAAATTCCAACTTCAAACATTTTCTCCCTGATTCTCGCACAAAAAGAATTTCCAGTCCTTGTCTTTCATTTTTTTTGTCCCTAATTAAACCAGTAAAAGCCTATCAACTTCAGGAGGGTTCGACCCTTAACTTTTTGTTTCACTAGCCAGCTGGGCTACTGAAACAGACTCTGGACTAGCCCGCGGGCATTTTCACTAGCCTGCGTGTTTATCATTTATAGAGTGTCTCATAGACAACAATGTGCATACATGTACAATATGTATCCTGAGGCAATGTTGTCGGTGTTTTTAATAAACAGATCTAATAATTTAACCCTAAACAGTTTATAAAATTTATACAGGTTTCAGGGTTCTCCCCAGGATTTTTTCAAACCTGTGGGGGAAGTTTTGTTGTGATTCACCAACCTGCGAAGCCACGGCGTGGGGTTCGGGGCCCGCTTAAGGGCCCCGAAAAATTTTGAACTTTAGAGGCTCTCTGGTGCATTTTAGAGCAAATCTGGGGAGTCTTTAAGGAAGATTTTTCCTTAAAATTTAGAGGAGATCTTGTGATATTTTTTGTAATTAGAGAAAAAAAATATCAACGTTTTTAACTAAAAAAAAAAATCAACATTTCAAAACCTGTGTTAAACCTTCTTGATCTAGAAAGTATGGATTATATTTACAAGCAAGTTTCAAATTAAGAAATTAAGGTGAAGAAAAAAATCACTTTTGCTTCCGACTACATGGCTTTCAAAATAGCGTCGGTAGGTCGGAAAAATTATTTCGCCATTTTTTGGGGCTGCTGATTGAATCATGGAGGAATAAAAACACATGATTGAATGGAGCATATTGAACAAGGAATCATGTAGTTTTGTGCCTGGATTATTTTCCTTTGCACCACGAAAATTATCAAGACTGACCATCAGAAGTGATTAAAACTTGCCTCACCTAATTAAAAATATATTTGAGGAGGTTGATTCCACTATGCTTAATGTACATCGATCACGGCCCCTGGCACTGCCAACATTCAGTCTGGCCGGCCGTACATCGCGCAGTATCAGTGTGCATTACTGCACTGTGTACGGCCCTACTGCTTCTAAGAAGCACGCTACGATGTTTCGCCACAAGTTCGAGCTTTGCAATCTCGTCATTTTAATGGAAAATACATACACAGAAAATAAAGATCACGTTCTGTGAATTAATTTGCAGAAATTCTCTTTCTCCATCGATGTTTGTTTGGTGTTTTTACGATCCAACTTCGGCCGACATCATCATCATGTATGCACGCACGAGGCAGTAGTCACTGGTTCCGGTCCTTCATCATAGCATTGATACTGTTAGCACGCGAAGGGAACCAGTGTACCGTGCTGTATGCGCTAATATATAGCTGGCGGTTGACGCGAAAGACCCGTCATCGTGTGCCTTTTGATCACGCATGCATCAGAAATGCGGGATTTTTGTCAAGATTTTGCATGTCAAGATGAAATAATGGTGTATGAAACGATTATGTTGTGCATTTTAATGGCTTGTATAATAATTATATTGTGCGTATCGGGGCTGAAAAATGTGATCGGCATTTTTGTCGGCGTATCGGGCCGCAATTCCAGCGTATCGGGCCGATACGCACGTTTGTACGTGGGGAGAACCCTGGGTTTGCTTTCTGCATTTAATGATTATTCTTCCTGTCCTTTCATCTTTGCTGTAACCCAATAATTGTTGACTTGCCAGCCGGGCTACTTCAAAATAGTTTGACTAGCCCACAGCTGTTTTGACTAGCATTTGGCTAGCGGGCTAAAGTTGAACCCTGACTTCAGTAGGTCTCAAATTGCCCTCCAAAAATCTACAAATAGTTCCGTGAATTTGTCATTTTTTTGTTTGCTTGCAGATGGGATGTTTTGGGGCTCTGACGCTATTGGTGTGTATGCGAGACAACTACGTGGTTGTCTTCATTACGTCGGGTGTGTTTGGGTTGTCACTCAGTAGCGTCTACCCTACGGTCATAGCACTGGCTGAGCAGTACATCCACATGACAGGTAATAAACTAACAACAACAAAAAAGAAAATAGAAGAAATTGAGAAGACAAAAAAATATAGTACTTGGCCATTGTCATTTTGATAATGGCACCCATGGCCCAGCATTGAATAGCAGCATTTAAAGGCTGGTTCTTTCTTTGTAACATTTGTATCGATATTCGGTGGATTTGAAATACATGTACATTCAATTGTGGACCTCCTCTTTTGAAACTTTGGTCCTGAAAAGGTTAAATTTTCAATAAGTTGCTCTCATGTCAGACTTCCTATAGTGAAAAATGTAATTATCCATGCCATGATATCAAAAAATAAGGTTTACTTGAAAAATTTAGTATTTCAATGTATAGAGTTTCAAGTTTAAGAACACATCAAAATTCCATCAAAACAGAAAACGTTTACGCTATAAATCACAACAATCTTCATTTTCCCCTTTCTGTAGAACCTGTTGAGTATGAAACACACATAGTGACATTAACAATTTATTTCTTACACTAACAATCTCTGACAAACCAAAATCTTGACTAAAAACATGAAGATTTGTGTTTGCCTGTCCCAGAGGGCCAGCTGGGTCCTCTTTGCACCTATCTTACTGACTGACTGACTCCCCGACTCCCCCCCCCCCCCCCCCGACTCCCTGACTGATCGACTGACTGATTGTCACTTGTGACTTACATTGGTTGTAGACTGCTGAAAGGAGCCTGATCATGCTGTTATAGAGGGTGGATAAAAAAAAACCTGAGATATTATTGCTAATTGGAACAGAAGTAGGGCACATGTGAATGAAAGGGAGGTATCCTCTGTTAGGGTTTAATCTCCTCTTTAAAATGACACCCGGATCATGTCATTACATTCACGGTTGACTGAGCAGTGACCAATTTCATGAAAGGGTCTATTTAGAGAGTTGCACCACTTTTCAATTGTGGTTTACGTGGCGTCATTTGTCACAGAGTGAAAGGCTATGGTTGCCTAAATAGACCCTTTCATAATATTGGTCACTGCTCAGTCAACCGTGAATGTAATGCCATGATCAGGGTGTCATTTTAAAGAGGTTGTGGAATGCTCGAAGACATTTCCGTCATTTTTTGGGTATATGTAGCCTAAGGTGTGATGAAATAAAAACAACTATTGTTTCTGTCATGAAATGAGTGCAAAGGGTACTTTTGAGAGCTATTTTTCAGGTCCTGTTTCGACCCGAACGTGCAATTTGTGTAAAAGTCGTCGTTGCTGGCAGCAAACAAAACACAGTAAATCGTGACGTAATAAACGGGACTCGTTTATGCTACTCTGCATTGGGAGTCCTGTTTATTACGTCACGATTTACTGTGTTTTGTTTGCTGCCCGCAACGATGACTTTTACACAAATTGCATGTTTGGGTCGAAACAGGCATGACAGGACTTGAAAAGCAGCTCTCAAAAGTACCTTTTGTACTCATTTTATGATAGAAACAATAGTCGTTTTTATTCCATCACACCTTAGGCTACATTCCACATTCCACAACCTCTTTAAAGAGGAGATTCAACCCTAACAGAGGAGATCTCCCTTTGATTCACATGTGCCCTTCTTCTGTTCCAATTAGCAATAATATCTTGGTTTCATTTTTTATCCACCCTGTATAAGATTACACCCTAACACCAGTGAATGGGCTAATTCCAGGCCATTATGTAGACCAGATGAACAAAGTGAATAGCCATACTTGAATAAATTGACTAGAATTTTATGTGCTCCAGATCTAGCTTTACATTGTAAATGTCATTCCATTGGCACGTAGCTGAAGACGAATGTTTGTTGTTCCTTCTGTAGGGTTTGTGACCAGCTGTGTAGTGATAGGCGCTGCCACAGGAGAAATGGCGTTTCCCGTCATCGTAGGCAGGGTAAGTTATAATCGCAATCAGAACCCACGCCAAGTCCCGCCGACGGTAACATCAAATCCATCACGCGCCGAAGCGCGTGCTCCAGGGGATTTTGCCGTTTATTAACTGCGCTGTGTTTGTGTAACCTGGTTCAAAACTGTTTCACCGGCCTCACAATTTAAGGTTCAGGATGGAAGTGCGAAACATGTCGTTAGCAACTAGTGTTGGCATTGACGTTGGGAAAGACATGATAAATTATGAAGTCCCTAAGTTAGAGTTCAGAGAGCGCTGCATCACTGAGCATGATATGAATTCAATTTTACAAGTTAGCCTAAATAAATTTACAAGTTTTTCTTCAAATGAAACATGTTAATGAAAGGTTCATAAAAATACTAGTACCATTATACTGTTGTTGAATTACAAATTAAAACAATTTCTTTAGACACTTTGTGAAACAATTATACCCGAGTCCAGCTAAAATTTGCCCCACCACAGCCCCCCCCCCCAAAAAGAAATGCATTATATTTTTTTTAAACTGAACTACATTCGGGTTTTTTCTTGAATTATTTTCTCAGTAGGTTTCCTTGCAATATGTCTTATATTGTTTCAAGTTGTTTGTGTCATTAGTATGCTTCTTTTTGACAACATATATGTGCATATATTTGCATAAATTGAACTACTTGATTTTAATCCTTTGGATTTTGGCAGGTTTTTTCTCCTCACTCAGCTATTCATCTTCTTATACTCTGTCAACCTTATCATTTTGTTGATTTCATCTTTATTTAGACTACCAATGTGCATAAATTTGCATAAAATATGCATAAATTTGACCTGGTTTTCTGGACTCTTTGTTCTTGCTATAGGTTTTCTTCCCCATTCAGCCCTACATCTTCCTTATATTCTGTCAAGCTGTTAGTGTGGTTGGCATCATTGTTCTCATAGTTCTGATAATCGTCGGTCATTTTCCAAAGACGGCACCCGGTAAGAAAAGTTGGTGTTTATTCCCCCCCCCCCCCCAAGGACTTTGTGTTTTGGTACAATTTGTCAATAAGCCATTCGCGAGTAACCTATACCCTTTGGGATTTACATTTGAAAAACATCTGGTACACTGACTTGCTCAGAATGCTTGGCACATTTTAACTTTGAATTCTCCAGACCAAAGACACTGTTGCTATATCACATGATTCGGGGCAAGCTCTTGCATAGTAACGTAAGAGACGCTCAGCACCAATACATTGTTCACAATGGATAAGAATGGCACAAAGACACCAGACCATGCCGGAGCTGGGGGTTGCTAGCATAAGGCTTGCCCCGAATCACATGATATAGTAACACAGTTTCTTTGGTCGGGAGAATGCAAAGTTAAAACGTGCAAGGCATTGGATTAAGTCAGCGTTCCAGATTATATTCAAATTTAACTCGCAAATGGCTTATGTTTTCAGAGTTGTATAAGTTCATGATTTTTTTGGTTTTTGGTTTGTGTTGTAGGGCAGTCCGAGATTTTACTTGTGCCTTACATGTAATAAACGTACCTTGACTCTTATTTTGTTTTTGGCTTTACTTTAAGTAAAAATACTGTTTGTGGTTTGCAAATGGCATTGACCAAAATTACGAAAAAACAAGCTTTTAGGAGCAAAAATCCTCTGGCTAATTTGGGGATGAGGAGTGAGGATTAAGCAAGCGGAAAGCCGGACTAATGAGAAAACGGTACTTCCCGGGGACAGCTTGCAAAGCTGGGATTAACCTTCTCACGAGACGGAGGCGAATGGCTGGGAGATGTCCTAACGTCTTCTCCAAGACGCAGCCGAGCCTGAGTGATGCCTTGTCAAGGGAAAACTCCCCAAGGTTCCGAGGTTTATTCTGTAAGCTGTGCTTTGGTGCAGATTACGGAGATGATGGACTGCACTGTCGTAAACACAATGACATTGGCTTCAGTGCTGCAGGGTTTTTACGTTTTTGGTTGTAGTTTTTTGAGAAAGAGAAACTGGCAGAAGAGTAAAGAAGATTTTGTGTGAATTATTCATACACGCACACGTCAGTGGGAACGTGCAAGATGGCATGGTTTTATATACAAGTCCATTTTTTTTATGGGGGTTGGCATTTATCAGTATAAGTTTGGTGAATACTCTGATTGCAGCGATTTTAAAAACACCTCTGTTTGGCCGCTTGAGAACCTACAAGAATGATCTGGACCTGAACGATCTGGACCCAAATTAAAGAAAATATTAGAAATATGTAGCAATTATCAAAATAAGTGCAAATGAGATATGTTATAGGCTGGTATTTTGGACATATTTGGTGAAAGTTTCATGTATATCCATTGTACAATTTTGAAGAAAAGCGCTAGCAAAGAACTCACGCTTAAACACTCTGACCACGGTTCCATGGTTCAACAAATTGATTGAAATCGCGTACTGATGTGAAGCAGTGTAATAACAAATAAAAACCTAGTCATGGTGACTGACTCACTTGAAGTTATTGACACATTTAAAAAAGGCAAAACCAATTATGTGTGCAGACTGCAAAATGAGCCTCTGGCTTCAATGAAAAAGGCATAACTCCTCACCACAGCCACTAATTTGAAAAATTCAAAATTCCTGTGGAAGACAAGGTAATAGCCAATTCATATGAAACACTCAGTTTTTTCTTTTCAAATATACTCTATTTGCCACAAACAAACGGTGAACTTGGGTCCATATCATTCCGACTCACCCTGCAGTCACTGTGATTGGCATGTGAAATGATTTTTTCTTTTTTGATTTTTTTAGTACCGCAGGAATTGATCCTATGCATTATAGATCTGCCAAACAGAAATACTCTTGATTTGCAGCACAATTGGGTCGACCATATTGAAACAAATACCCTATTTAGTTGTTTTGCAGTGGTATCTACACTGTGCAATAAAAACTTGAATGGCAGATCATCGTTGTTGTACCTAGTTGAGTCCATCACAAGTCCATCACAAATCCATTGCAAGTCCATCGCAAGTTTATCACAAGTCCATCACAAGTCCTCACAAGTCCTCAAAAGTCCTCAAAAGTCCATCGCAAATTCAACACAAGTCAATAACAAGCCCATCACAAGTCCATCGCAAGTCCGTCACAAGTTCATCGCAAGTTGATCACAAGTCCTTACAAGTCGATCACAAGTCCATCGCAAGTCCATCACAATTCCATCACAAGTTCATCACAAGTCCATCACAAGTCCATCGCAAGTCCTCACAAGTCCTCAAAAGTCCATCGCAAATTCAACACAAGTTAATAACAAGCCCATCACAAGTCCATCGCAAGTCCGACACAAGTTCATCACAAGTCGATCACAAGTCCTTACAAGTCGATCACAAGTCGATCACAAGTCCATCACAAGTTCATCACAAGTCCATCACAAGTCGTCACAAGTCCATCCCAAGTCCAACACAAGTCCATCGCAAGTCCATCACAAGTCCATCGCAAGTCCATCACAAGTACAGTAATCCAGTCTCAAGTCGAGTCATAAGCTATACAAATGAACTGCACATTCCTTACAGTTATTGTTCATCCCGTGTTACTTGTGACTGGACTTGTGAAAGGACTTGTGATTTACTTGCGATCAGACTTGTAATGGACTTGTGGATTAATTGTGACTGGTTTTGTGAAAGGAGTTGTGATTTACTTGTTTCAGGACTTTTGATAGACCGGCCTACAAAGCTGAGAATCATATTTAACATTTTTAATTTTGGATTTTTTGCTCAGCCGTTGTGCAGGCCCAGAATGCCTTCATGTGGTGTCGTGCCTGCTGCATCACCAGCAGGACCCAGGGGCCCATGGCCGACCACTCCAAGTACTTCACCAGCCTGGCCGACACCCAGAAGGCCTACCTGGTCGTCGGTTCCCCCGAACAGATCCCATTGGAGAAGATTCCCATCACCACGGCAACCCCGGAAGCCAAGAAGGAAACATGATGAGCCATGACGGCTTCCACTCATATTTAGGCTTGGGCGACTCTGTGCCAAGAATCAAATACACTTGATTCCAAATTTTGAATTTGTACATGTACCATGAGTTTTTCTTTTGAATCTTCTCTCCGTCTTGACGACTTCGTGCACAAATTCCCCCCTCAACAGTTACAAAAGAGAAAGTTGGGGGAGGCCACTGGGAGGGGCTTTTGATAGACCTTTATCATGCCACCACCATTTCAGTCATGTTCCCTGTATCCAATAACAGTACTGAATGATAATGTATTTTGTACAAAAAGGAACCAGACTATTTTTCCTTCCAGCCTCACTTTAGTTACGTTGATTTGAATGGGTAAAAAAATCAAGATGGCCGCAACATGATAATGGTCTATTGCCGAAAGCGCCTGCCACTCACGTGAAGACGCTATGGACTTGTTTATATATTTTAGAAATGTCCATATAAGGCCAAAAAGAATTTGTTGTGTTGCCCTCATCTGGCCGACCCAAAAATTGGGAATTCTCTGGTCATTTTTTGTTACCACTTGGGGGAGGGGGGAATATATATAATCTTTAACCTTACCGTGACTGTTTCATTGTAATGCCTTAATTTTGAATATTGTTTCAAAAAGTACATACCTAAATGGAGTACACTTTGAATTTACCATAGTTTTTATGTGTAAACTAAGGTGTGATGTACTGCAAAGATTGTAAAGGTGTGTACACAAATTCACATGAACATGTTCACAGTATAGTTAGCGCGGGCAGTACATTTAGCCTAAACGTTTTGGGCACATTAATTGATAGAGGGAACTACATTAATAGGCCTAAGGCCATAAAAAAAAGGCTCCAGTTTCTGGTCCGAGGAGCGTTGCCGTAGCCATGCGCGTCAGCAAAATTAAAAAGTTGGGTTTTTTTTTCAATGTAAGATGATGTCTCAAAACAGCCAAACTCACTGGTTAAAGCTTTATGTGGCCTCTCTGGGTTCCCATACATTTTGCACTAAATTTAGTCGGGCACCACTTACAGTCATCAGCCGACATTGGAAAAAAACAAATAAAATTAAATTAAAAATAGCCACATCGCCGCACCACTTTTTGGGCAAGCCCCTTACGAGAAACCGAAGACTAACGGAATGGAATGGAAGAAAGGGTCGGCCTATATGTGAACTAAATATATGTATTTTCCCCCCCCCCCCTCCAAAAAAGTGATCAACCGACCCTCCAGATGTTTTCATGTGAGAGCAACACAACAATTTTTTTTTTTTTGGCCTAAAAGTGATTCACTTGACAGTTCATATGTAGATTTAAACATTTTGATTTTTTTTTGCTCAAAATCTTTGGCCATCCAAGCGTAACTCACATGTACATAATACGATGTATATCAGCTTGCCAGTTGATCATATACCTTGTCCTTGATGGATTTATCAATACATGTAGCAAAGATCTGATTTTATCTTTCTAGGGAGCAACTGTTTCTTGTTCAAATCCCCTTCTATAAATGAGTCCTCTTGAAAGATATCTAGCATTGCACTGTTGAATATGTACTTGACTTTGTTCTCGACTTCAAACCGATCTCGACGTAAAAAAATTCCACCACACAAGTAACATTCCATCCCAGGTCAAAATATGAAGAATGTAAAAACAAAAAGTCACTATTTGGCCCTTAATTATGTATAACAATCATCAATATCCAGAACAATTAATAATTGGCCATCTCTTGAGCTGAAGTATCTCTTATTCGATTCATCGAAGAACTGATACTTTGAAATCAGACTGTTGTCTATTTTTCAAAATTCCTAACGCCATCCCAAATGGAGACACTTAATATCGAATCATTTAGAGATCTCATTCATTTTGAAATCTGACTTATCAACTGCATTGTCCTTGTACATGTCTAATGAAATAACTAAATCCCGCCTTTACCCCTATTTTGATCATAAGCTCCTCATCTTGACTAAGACCCCATATTCCATAATTTTATACAAATGTATAGAGAAAGCTTCCAGGAAAGAAGATTTTTGCACATGCGGGCATGCATTTCACTGGTGCAGTGTACTTTGTGTATTCTAACATGACCTCAACTACTGTAAAGAAAAAATCTAAAGAGACGTCTTCCGTGGAACGCTTTACGACAAGAAACTGTCGACAAGTATTCACCTACATTTAGACAGGGAACAAAAAAATACCTCGACATGATCTCAAGCTTCATAAAGCTGTAGCCTTAGTGACACCCTCCAGCTCTGGAAAATCCTTAACTTTTTAGAGATTTTGAAAGTTTTTGACTGAGTATTAACCAGAGTGCAGGTGACAGCTTTCTGGTGTCCCTGAGAAAAGCCATCACTTAACTAGAACATAATTATACCAAAGTGGTCCGATTGAGAGATCTATTTTTGTGATTAAGGCCTACCTTGAAAAAAATTTTGTGAGGAAGAGGGTCGGGGACTGAAATGGAGGGAGTATACTTCCCCTTTATTTTGGAAAGTCTTCATGAAGCTATTTATAAGTTCCTGGATATCTGGATATGTCTCTTAACCAGTTCACGCTGGGATTATTTTGACACGAACGGAACGAGGCGCGGGATTACTTTTCACTCGACCTCAAGCCATGGTGTTGAAGCCATCACCCTCGGGCAGCACACTCACATTTCTAGTCTCCCTCGCTGCGAGCGGGTCACTGACAGATATTTCCGGCCTCGATCGCTGCGTGTTTATCTGTCATCCGTTCTGAATACCGCAAAACTTTTGCGTGTATACACGGCCTCCGGTGCGAACTGGTTAATTGCATAACTTCTGCCCTTAAAGCTGTGTGTAACCCCTCCCCTTTTTTTGCCCACCACACGGAGCATGTGCATTATCTTTGAATTATATTATATTATATATTATATGCGCTATATTTCTTTGGAAGTTAAACTCTTTGCTTTGATTACTCCAAACAGCTAACAATGGTGATAGGTTGCTGGTATGTGTATCGGTTCAGTTCGTAACCATTTTTGTTACTTATTCCATCAAACATTGGCCATCATTTACTTAAGCAAAGAGTTGACAATGTTATGGCATCCAACATGTATAAATGAAATATGAATCAGTGCTTCTAAGTTTTCGTGAATTATTTTTTTTAATGAAGTATTGTTATAATCATGTTAAATAGTAAGTGCACATAACTGTAGATAATATCTGCAAGTAAGATTTTGAGGCTTGGGTGGAGTTACTAAATAATGAAAGGTTTGCGGAAACACCATGTGCAAATAATTTCTCAACTAAGAGAATGGTTCTGAAAAGAACCAGAGGTATAAACTCGACGTTCTGGTCAGTATGCTCTGACTGTCTACATTCTACCGTCTACATTCTCCTGAAGACCGCCTACATTCTCCTGAAGACGGTCAGAGCATACTGACCGGAACGTCGAGTTTATACCTCTGGTTCTTTTCAGAACCATTCTCTTAGTTGTTTCCGCAAACCTTTTTATTATTTAATATCTGCAAGAACTAAATAATGAAAGGTTTGCGGAAACACCATGTGCAAATAATTTCTCAACTAAGAGAATGGTTCTGAAAAGAACCAGAGGTATAAACGCAACGTTCCGGTCAGTATGCTCTGACCGTCTACATTCTACCGTCTTCAGTCTCCTGAAGACCGCCTACATTCTCCTGAAGACGGTCAGAGCATACTGACCGGAACGTCGAGTTTATACCTCTGGTTCTTTTCAGAACCATTCTCTTAGTTGTTTCCGCAAACCTTTTTATTATTTAATATCTGCAAGACAAATTATCTTTGACACAGACACCTTACATTAAGGTATTTGTGTTAATGCATACAGAATGCTTTCCATTTAGGAAGTTTCGAAAAGGCCAACAAAATTTACATTTCGTGTTTTCTGTGTTGTGATTGCACAAAGTTTGGTAAAAGCACCAAATAAGTTGATCAGTACATCGAATGTATTCATTTGCACAGCGACTTATCAAAAGTATTGTTATGTATAAGAGTCTATTTTTGTTGCATGAGGAATGCATTTTAGACATAGTATTACATTCATTAGGAAAACACTAGTCTGCAATTATTGTGAAATAAAAAAGTACATTACATCAGGACAATTACCGAAGTAAAACAATTTGAAAGAAAAGGCGGCGTGACACATACTATGTTTATTAGATGTAATTCGCTGTTTTTTGCTGGAGTGATTTTACTTGGAACCACATTAAGAGATACATGTACATCAAACGCCATATGTAAAATTGTTTTAAACAGGTTAATTTAGATTTTAGCTATCCTGTATTCATAAATATAAATATATTTATTTTGGTGCATTGTATATGTATATAATATGTCATATATGAACAGAGAAGGGTTTATTTTTGTGCACACAGCATGTTCGTGTGTTACTTGTAATATGAATTATGTATTCGTGCATTGTATCAGTACTTTGGGTTTTTTTGTTAATGAGTTTTTAACCATTATATAATCAAAGGTAGATGTGGAATAAATTTGTGTTTTAATCTAAGGAGAATTGAGTTTTAACAAAGAAAAAAAAAGTGAAAGATAAAGTTAAACAGAACAGCAGGTCACAATTTTGTTAAGCGAAAAATCAATGAAATGCTGCAAATTTTGGAAGTCTACGCCGTGGGTGATCGGAAGTTGTTATGTGCCACAATTCCGTGGCCAAAACTGTGGTGGCCGAAGAGCGTGCAGCAATAGACGTGAGACACAATGACAGCATGCTTTGTTTATGTGTGCGCTTTCTAATGGGAGCTATGCTCCCATACGAAAGTAACAAATAAAGCATGACATAATTGTGTCTCACTGAGGTCTATTGCGTCCTGGAATTTGTGTGTTACGGACAAAGCTGGTTACATCGGTTCCTTGCTCTATGCTTAAACTAAACTTCCCTTCTTAACCAGTTCACGCCGGGATTATACTGACAAGAAGAACAAAACAAGGCGCAAGATTACTTTTCACTCGACCTCAAGCCAGGCGGGTTGAAGCCATCACCCTCGGGCAGCACACTCATATTTCCGGCCTCGCTCGCTGCGAGCTGGTCGCCGACAATTATTTTCAGCCTCTCTCCCTGCGTGTTTATCTGTCATCCGTTCCAAAAACCGCAAAACTTTTGTATGTATACACAGCCTCCGGCGCGAACTGGTTAAAAACAATTGAGACAGATATCCGTGTGTTTGCCGTCTAGAAATTTTTATAGTCTTCACATCTAGATAAATGTGTCTTTATTTTCATTGAGGTATGCTGAACAATTGTATTCTTGTTTATTTTTAGCCGTGGCGGCCATCTGCCCCACAATTTATCAGAAT